TTTAAGCAGGAATGGATGCTCACCGATACATCGGCCTTTCCAGGCGGAAAAACTCCGTGTATATTGTGGTTGCGGAACATGCACGATTTGCTGCCCCTTAGGGTTCAGTTTTAAGCCTTTGGATGCAGTGTCATGGCCACAAGTAAGTATTCAGGATGAGTGGTATTGAAAAGGATAGGAAATCGCGATAGGCGTTTTTGGCTTATTGACCGTCGTCAACCCAGCATGCCCGACCCCGGGTATCGCAGGGCCTAGGAGTCAAACCCGCTTCGTCTGGTTGCCAAGTGTTATTAAGGCCAACGCTCCACCACTGTGCCACTGACCTGTTATCCTGTTGATTGCGAGTGTTACGTTTCTTTCTGCATAATGAACTGCCGCTATGCGATCGTAACCTGATCGGTGAATGCACCACTATTATCATTTATATCTGCGTTCGCAATCTCCTGGACGATGCACCGTGACTGAATGATGGCAAGCTAGATTTAATGACACGCAACGGTCAAAAAATCAACATTCTGCAAAGTTTGGGAGTTGGGTAAGTCTAGCTGGCGATGGTTAATAAGTCAGGAACGGACATTCCAGCCTCCCTTGTCATTGTTGGTTATTTTACAACTGCATCGATGGGCATCCCGGGAGACGAAGACAGCCTCATTTAAAAATATCTAAGGCTCGTCACCAGTTTGTTATAAGAGTTGTGAAAAATACGAGAGTCATGCTGAAGACGGGACTGTTTAGTTCAGTGAGTGAGGAGTCGTTCAAAAAGTCCCTTGTTCGTTTTGTGGTGCAATCTGTTATATTTGAATCGGGAAATCTGCCTCTATTCGTAAACATGATCATTAGCCAGCGGCGAAGACAGGAGAACATTTATCACATGTGGTCGCACAGTGCATGATAAATACACATTGACCTAGGAAAAAACTAAGGTCACTGGCGCTTGGCAAATAACATGACCCGTTCCGACGAGGTATGCACTAGTAGCAATTGGGTTTGGCCGGCACATAAAAAGTTCTCAGTGAAAGGTGGGACAGAATGCAGCCAATCCACGTTGCGTGCTGCGATGTAATGGACGTGCATTGTTTGGCATGGCTGCATGTTGACAGTTTTTATCCATTGTACGTCCGTAGGCGAGACGGAAAAACTGACACGGTTAATATGTATGCATCGTTCGTTCCTTTTTGTCAAAACTTCGTCTTTATTCTTTTGTAGGGACCATATAGAACACTTTTGGAATGAGTGTACACAGTGGCGCAGTGCAGGTCGAAAAGCTTAACCGCAGTGCAATCAAAATCGAATATTTGGGGGATTCTAATGTGGATCAACACATCGCCTTCCCTATGAAAAGCTGGGACTTCATCTATATTTACACAAATTTTAATGAATATCTGTTATAAAATTCTCGGACAAAAGAAGTTTCATAGGAATCGTGCTTCAAAAGTTAAACTGAGAGATCAATGATGATCTTCAGTAGGACAGATTCCTTTTCTTAGGTAAATGTCGAACATATAAGCGACCTACGAATGCCTCAATGTCAACTACTTTCTCCGTCACCAAACAAGGAGTTGCATTAGTACGCATACAGAGGATGCGAGCACCAGTAAAGCGCATTCTCGTAATTTTTGGAAGACAGTGTAACTCTAAAGCCTACAGCCACAAGTTACGGTCGCCACACAAAATCATGAGATAATTAATATCGCCTTTGAAAGCCCCCAAAAGTAGGAAAAGTTCATTTACGGTAAGTTACGATAATACTTATCATTGAACATATTCCAAGATAATTCACATTTCGTGGCATTATGCCTTTTGGTGAGTGGATTTTAAATCTCCTTCTGGCTGGCACTCACAAAGGTAGTCAATCAGTTAAAATACTTTTCAATATTTACTTTCGATGCCTGCGAGAATCTGTTTGTACGGTTCAGGATTGGTGTAAATTAACTGAAGCTTTTTTGCAGGATCCTAGGTCTTCTTAAATGTAACCTTATGATGTGAATATTTCCTTATCATGGAAAGTTTTATAGGTCTAACAGTTTCAAAGACATCAATGTTGCTACTGTCTTGGTCTATATTCGCACGGTATTTCTATAACTTCTGAGACACGAAAAGATATCGACATGTGCCACAGTATTTTATAGTAGGCGGTGAAATTAAGCATAAGTAAATAAGGATTAATATGGGTTGGCTTTCGAAACAAGTATATTGCCTGCCATACGAACACCCAGAGAACAACTTGAGCCACGTGCGCGCTTTAAAACACAAGCATAGAGGACTTTTTAATGCATTAATATTACCATTCTTCGAGTAAAATTTGCCTATTAGAAAACGCCTAAGGGGTAAAATCTGCATGCAATAGTTGCCGACAGTTCAAAAGTCGTTGTCGACGCTGTCCACAGTGTGCTGCACAGTTAGGTACAACACCCACGGTGACATGCGCGTGAATTAGTTTATTGTGATAGTTGACTTGCGAGGCATCTACCGCACCCTCTCTTCCCATCCCTCACATAGACCTGATGTTAAGACAGAGTCAAAAAGACCAGGGGCGGGAGGGAGGACGAAGTTGGCTGGCACGGCCGGACCCGCACCTTGACGTGCCACCACATCCCATGGCTCGCAACACGCATTTGACCAGCAACAACAAAAAATGGAGGCTAGCATGGCAGAAGCCTCACCTGGGCGGGCCACTACTTCCGGCTCAGATCCCACGCAGTGGCAGAAGCCTCACCTACAGTAGATGTGCTAACTCATGACATGTCAACCAGAATTTCGAAGTGCGTTCTCGTTTCGAAAAGATAAATTAAGTAGTGTTGTAAAACTAATCACGATGCAGCATAAATCTATAATGATCCAGTTACCCCAGGGTGTCGGCGTTCGAAAGAATCTATTTTCGGCTGCATGCAAGGTCTATACTCTGCAAAAAATGACTACTTATGTAGTATGCAATTTTCTCATTGATTTTCGATGCCCCTGAAAATTCAATTATATTTCATGGAAAACATGCATAAAAATATCCATTCTTTTACCTATTCGGTAGAAAATCACGTCTTCTTTTAACTTCATACTCAAAAGAAAAGTATAATTCGGTTTTTAAAAACTTTTCTAATTCCCGAATAATTTTGAAGCCGACCTGCTGTTACACATGAATTCAGGGTTTCAAAACTACAAGCTGTATATTTTCCGTGTACGGAAAACCATGCATTTCTCTACGATTTTAAGAGGGGACCATATGAGGTTCATAATATTAAGCAGTGGATTTAAGCAATATTGTCAACTTTACAAGCCACCTTCGTAAATGCAGATACATGACGTTTCATGAACGGCCATTTAACGGTATTAAAAAATCTCACAATGATAAACTTTGTTAAAACCGAATTATACTCGTCTTTTGAGTATGAGATTGGAAGAAGACGTGGTTTTCTACCATATAAATAGAAGAATGAATATTTTTATGCATGTTTTTCGTAAACTATAATTGAATTTTCAAGGGCATCGAAAATCAATGAGAGAATTGCATACTACTTATGTAGTCATTTTTTGCAGAGTATGGATCTTGCATGCAGCCGAAGATAAGTTCTTTCGAAAGATGACACCCTGCGGTAACTGGATCATTATAGATTTATGCTGCATCATGATTAGTTTTACAACACTACCTAATTTATCTTTTCGAAACGAGAACGCATTTCGAAATTTTGGTTGACATTTCATGAGTTAGCACATCTAATGTAGGCGTGCGACTTCTTCCAGCTCAGATCCCACGCAGTGGGATTACAATAAAGGCCACATTAAGAAGGAGCCATTGCAGCCTGACTCTTAGACCACTAGCCGGCCACTCCAGTGAGACAACTCCGGGTCGACTGCGAGGTCCAATCTATCCCGTCATTTGTCGACCTTCCAAAACCCGGTTTTTGCGCACCGTGATAGCTTCAAGTGCGTAAGATTGTTTTTAGTGAGGAAAATGCGTGGATTCGTCGACCGCCCTCTGCCTTCCCATTCCCAGGCCCCAGCCACTGTCCGAGTCGGTCAGTTGACGGATGCGGGGAATGGGCGCGGTGGCTGACTCATTTAGTAACCCTGTCTGCGCCCGCCACATGTACGACCTGACCCCCCAAACACCAGTACCAGGATTTCACGCAACAGGGGTTGGGCAGCGTGCATCTCACACTCGTGAGAGTGATGTAGTTCACGATGGGAAGGAGCCGCTTCAGGCTGACTCTCGGCCCACCAATCCGACACTCCACACATACACACAAAACTGGACGGATTGCGTAAAACGAGTTGGGCGTCGGTCGGCTACCTTCCGAGTCACGGTGCTTGACACACCGTCTCCGTCGCAGATTCCGGTCACACATGCAGTAGAGGGACCGCACGGAGACGGAGCTGAGACGCACACTTCCGACTTGCGCAGAAGGTGACAATTGGATGCTTGCGGTGGGTGATGCTGATGTGCGAAGCGCTGCTGGTGGGGGAGGATTTGAAGATATGGCACAGCCGGCGGTTGTCTATCGCAGGTTTTCATAAATGCGCATATGGCCTAAGAGGCCCATGCGGTGCATGAATGTGCGAGTGCAATGCGGACAGTTGAGGCGGATGCGGCGAATGTAGGCTGGTGCTCCAGGCAGTGGCTCGCCAGGTTCTGTGCGATGGATTCGCAAGTGACCGACCAGGCTGATGCGTGGATTGAATGTGCGGGGGCAGTGTGGATATCAGAAGTCGGCGGTGTCAGTATCGGCTACGGTGATGGTGGTGGTGGTCGCACTGGGCGACGGGGTGTGAGTAGGGCTGAGCTTGGTGGGTGTGGGGGATGCACTGGGTGTGGTGCAGCTGGTGGCGGTAGGCGCGCAGGGCAACGGAGTGAGGGCGGGGCTAGGCATGGTAGGTGTGTTGGATGTGTTGGGTGTGTCGAGATTACGGTCAGTTTCACCCTCATGGATACGCATGTGGCCGAATAGGCCCATGCGGTCCATGAATTTGCGAGGGCAGTGTGGACAGTGGAGGTGAATGCGGCGGGTTTAGGTTGATGCTCCAGGCACTGAATCACCAGTCTCTGTGCGATGGATTCGCCAGTGACCGACCAGACTGATGTGTGAGGTGAAGGTGCTGTAGCACTGAGGACAGGTATATACCAGGTCCTCATCAGTGGTGTCGACGGTGGTGGTGTTGGTGCTTGTTGGTGTGTCAGAATTGAGTGTAATGTTGATGTGAACGGTAGACGCCACAACAGCGGAGGTTGAGGCAGTGGAGGAACAAGGGGAGGAGGAGAAGGAGGAAGAGGATGAAAATGGTGGTTCGGGGGAGCGGTCAGTGTTTGTTGGCGGCATAGGAGGCGAGAGAGAGGTGAACGGAGAGACGACGGTTCGTGTAGTCCGAGTGCTGCGGTTTGTTCAAAGGTGTCCAACAAGTCCATTTGGAGCCCGGAATGTTCTCTGACACCGTAAACACGTTGAGGACGGTTGGACGCAGCTGAGATTTGCGTGCCTCTCGTCAGGCTTTCTCGCGGCTATGCGGTTCGCCTCGTAGATTGATCAGCCTGTATTCACCATCTTCCTTCAGGTCAGTCAGTCTCAAGCGAGGTCTTTCCAGTTGGCCGGGTTGATCTGCAGACGCTTAAGGGAGGTCCTCAGAGTGTCCTTATATCGATGGATTTGGCCTCCTTGGCGGCGGGAACACGTGACGACATCTCCATAGAAGTGTCGTTTGGGTGGCCTTTCGTTGTCCATCCTCACGTGGTGGACGCTCCAACGCAGTTGCAGCTGACTCAGCAAGACGTAGATGCCGAGGCGTCCCGTCCACTGCAGTACGACAGTATCGGGGATCCAGTCCTGCCATCTCAGCTTCAACCTACGGGGAAGACAAGTGAGGTGGAAGTGGATGAGTCTCCGTGCCTGCTGTTTGGTGTTGAGATGGAAACTGTGAGGGTTCCAGATGGTGTTCCGCAGACGGCCAAAGGTAAGGCTGGCTTTGGAAATGCGACGGGCAACTTCGTCGTCGATTCTGGTGCTGCGGGAGAGGGTGCTGACCAGATACGCGAAGTTTTCCACCAATTGCGGTTGGGCTCCGTTCACGCTGTGGGGAACTGATCTAGGTGTCGGTTGGTACATGACAACCGTCCTCTCAGTGTTGATAATCCGACCGAATTTCTCGCTGGTTGCGGAGAAGAAGTCCATGCTACGTTACATGTCCTCTTCCGAGGTGGTGTTTAGGGCGCAGTCTTCGGCGAAGAGAAGTTCGTGAACGGTGGTTGTTGATACATGCGACTGGAAGTGCATCCGTCTGTGGTTGAGGAGATGGCCGTCCGTCCTATTGGCGATGCGGACCCCGGGGCATTCGTCAAGGTATTCGTCCATCAGAATGACAGAGAACATACGACTGAAGAGGGTGGGCACGATGACACAGCCCTCCTTCACTCCGTTGGTCACTGCGAATGCCTCTGAGACAGATTCACTGTCTATGACGCGCGCCACCATGCCATCATGGAGTTGACGCACCATCTGGATGAATCGCTCGGGAAAGCCGAATCTCTGCATTATTTTTTACAGTCCTTCACGATTCACCGTGTCGAAGGCTTTCGTCTGATCCACGACAGTGGAGTATAGGTGTGTCCGCATCTCCTGACACATCTCCTTCAGTTGACGGCCGGCGAAGATCACGCCCGTGGTTCCACGATGACGGACGGAACATCACCGGCCTTCCGGCAGGAGACTTTGTCCTAGGGGGTTGTTTAGATGGTTGACGAAAATTCCAGAAAGGATATTCCGGGCGATGTTCAGCAGGGAGTTACCTCGGTTGTCGCAGAGCTGGCAGTTTTCTTTCCGTTTGTATAGATGCACGATTGCAGCGTCCTTGAAATTTTGAGGGACATCTCCTTGACGCTTCATCTCCTGAGAGAGCGCCACCAGATTATTCATGAGTTTGGGGCCACCGTGCTTGTACATCTCAACAGGGATCGCGTCCGATCCAGACGCTTTCCCACTGGAGATCTGCTGCACGGTCCTGGTTTCATGGAGAGAGGGCGGTAGGCCTCCACTGGAGGCAGACGGGCGATGGCGGCGTCGGAGATGGTGGAGGAACGGTTGATGACGTCTCGGAAGTGCTCGGCCTATTGCTGTAGAATTTGTGTCTTTTCAGTGAGAAGGGTACTGCCATCGGCGCTGAGAAGAGGTGCAGTGCCTTAGGCTGACGGACCGTAGACGGCTTTGATCGTGGATCGTTGCGGTCCGCGTACTCTTGAATTTCCTCTGCTTTCAGAGCCGTCCAGGCGTCCTGCATCTCGCGCAGCCGCTGTTGCACAAGGCGATGACTACGTTGTTGTCGATGGGGCGGGTGACGTAGGCTTTGTGCAGGGGGTTCTTCTCGACGAGCGGGTTGCTAATGGCGGCGTCATTGTCATCAAACCAGTCCTGGTGCCGGCAACGTGCGCGACCAAGGACAGCCAGAACTGTCGTCTGGACTGTATCCCGCAGGTGACACCATCGTTTCTCCACGGAGGCGTTGTCGGCAGCGGCGGCGTCGACAGCGACTGGAAGGCTGTCTAGCCGTTGAGTTAGCTCGTCGCTGAAATGATGATGACGAGCAGGCAAAGACGAGGCAATATTCAGCTTATATGGGCGTCGCATACCTAGAAGTTTCCTGCGAGGCTGAAGGTGAATCCGCAATTGTGAGATGACGAGACGACGATCGGTCCACCCGTCGGCATCAGGGATCGTCTTTGTCACCAGCGTGTCCGCTGGTCCCGCCTCTGGACGAGGATATAGTTTAGCAGATGCCAGTTTCGCCACCGAGGGTGCATCCAGGTGGCCTTTTACCGCATCGGGAGGCGGAAGAAGGTGTTCGTCCGGATGAGTCGATGTACTGCCCAGGACGCTGTCATTGGAGCCGTTGAGACCATGGGGATCTAGCACTCCTCACCAGGCAGCATGGTCTATGTCAATGTGGGCGTGAAAGTCACCGAAGACAATCAACTTATCCGCCTTCGACATAGTCGTCAAGAGGGCGTGCAGGTCATCGTAGAATTTGTCTCTTGCGGCGTCGGGGCTGGTCATCGGCGGAGCGTAGGCGATGATGATGGTGGCGAATCTGTCTTCCCGTAGAGGTAGGCGGAGGCTCATCAAATGATCGTTGATGCCCTGCGGCAGACAGGACAGTCGTCCCACGATGTCGTTTCGGATGGCAAAAGCGACGCCCGCGTCTCGTCCCTTTGCCTTTGGGCGGCCACTTTCGAAGAAGGTGTAACCGGCCCCAACCTCCCCCTGTTAGCCTTGTTCGGAAAACCGGGTCTCGCTGAGTGTAACGATGTTCACCTTGTAGCGCGTCAGTTCGCGAGCCACTAGCGCGTCCTCCGCTCCGGTCGCTTTCTCCTCGGATTGTCTAAAAGGGAACGAACATTCCAGGCCGCCAGAGTAAGTGGACTCAGCCTGCAAGTCTGGCGAGTGGGGTGGCGGAGAGGGAGAGGAGGAGGAAGAAACAGAGTGTGTTTCGATTTTGATTGTTTTGACCGGGAATTTTGCGCTTGCGGCCACGGCCGGCCTGCAAACGGCGTGGCTTCCCAGCATTTGTATAGGGCATCTATTCCAGCTCCTTCCCTCTCGCGGGGGGGGCGAGGCAAGCAGTTCTGTCCCTAAACAGGGCTGCTCAGTTGTCCCAGGCGGCTGTCGAACTCCACTATGGGCCACATCTTGGGTAAGTGGGAGAACGACCCGAGTTGGCCTGGGACTGCCTAGGACGACACGTAAGCGGAGAGTAGAGAGAGGGGTAGCCCTACTTTCTCCTTATTCTCTAGGTTTACTGGACGTTGATATAGAATCGATGAGCAACCTTATTCAACAGTGCGGTATTTTACTTGCAGTGAGGACGAACACGGACAAAGAGATGAAAGCAAGCCGGCAAGGACAACAAGAAGCAGAGGCAATACGGGAAATCCAACAGAACGGCAATCAGCTTTCAACAGTGACCAACATAGATAAGCAGGCAGACAGCAAGTAACAAGAACAAGCAGAACAACGTTCGCTTACCTGGGGGCTCACTTACCTTGTTGCCTCCTGCGTTGTCCCAGGTGGAGCCTCGTCTCGGCGATGTCGGTGCAGTGATCCATCTGGTCAGCGAGGCCATGATTACCGTATGAGGTGATGCGCATACGGATACCCTCACCTGGTTTAGACCGCCGGTCAAGGCTGTTACCGGGGTGTGGTCGCTAGGTTGGGTCTAGCTTCGGGGGGGGGGGGCAAATGTGAGAGCCGGGTGCCAGCAGACGGACGCTAGGCTTAGTCTACACCTGCAAGCAAGTGAGCGACCTACTACGTCCGTCACGTGGACACCCCTACATCCCGCGTGCAGTAGTTAAAAAAACATACACAACCTTCGTATTGATTTATTTCCAAGTACGATTTGCACAAGGAGATGAAATATAATACTCCGAAAACCCTGTGATATGCAATGTGTTGTTCTTACGTAACTTAGGCGCTGTGAGTCTACTTCAACCATAAAAACTGAATCGATGTCCGTGCACTCTTTTCACTGTATGTTCACCCATAAGAAGTGCTCGAAGTAGGAAATTGTTGCGAGTGAAACAGAACTGTGTTTTAACAAATGAATGATAGTGCTCCGTGTAACTGATACAATATAGGAGTAGTTTGCAGCATTATTGTTTGATTTGGCAATGGAGAATGGCTGTAGTTGATTATACTTCTCAAGTGTGAACTGGTGGGGTTTCAGCCTAGAAGCGGGACTGAGAACAAGAGTGGAATTTAGCAGACCGTGAACTCTGAATCCAGTTGTTATTATCTGGTACTAAGGATTAGATCTCGTTTTGAGTAGCTCGACTTATTCGATTGATGTTGGTGAGGGTTTGGCAGTACTTAGAGAACGAAGTTTTTAAATAAGAAGAACCACTTCGCAGCGGGAAAGATTCAGTAATACTACGAAGTGCTTTTGCTTGAAGACGAACAATGCCGAATAACTTGTATATGTGTTTAGTTAGTCGGTCGTTTGATATTAGCGCTCTGAATATTAACACCTATTTGTATTCATGGCAGCTTGGCACTGTGGAAGCGATAATGAAAACTATGGTGGGGGCAAATAGTGATTTTCACAATTCTGACAGACCTGCTTGGCCCAGCTTTTGGGTGCAGAAAAAAGAATGTTCACTTTGGGTTACAAGATCGTTCTTCTATAAATTGTCATTACTTTCAGCATGTAATAAGATGTTATGGGCGAAAGAGTTATTTTACTCATTGGTTCAAAATAGTCGCAAAATTTAAGGGGTCCTAAATTAGGAAAATCACTCTCGCAAGACTGCTGTCTACTTCCTGTCTTGGGGTTTTCACGCAAACTGGAGGCGAAAATTAGGTCTACGCATATTTGGTAACTTAAATCTATTCCAGGACATTTACTAGCGAATAATCTTAAAACTCATGCAAAACCTGTAAGACTGCGTCAGTTATATGTGTCCAATATTTGCAAAACGCTTAATTGGCCTTTGCAGACCGTTCAAACGAGTCATGAACCACTTTGTTTCATTAATTCAGGGACAAAAGTTTTAAAAATTTAAACTGACATACCGCATACGAGTTTCGGAAAACATAAATCAGCTGCAACTATTCTTCTAGGACTGTGCAGCAATTTAAAACATAAGCTGGTAATTAGAAAGCTGATAAAATTAGCGGCAGACTTTCATATACTTTTGCTAACTGAATATTCCGACGTCGTGATTTTCCAGTCTACTTACTCCGTAATGAAAAACAGTGTTTACAACTTGCGGACTATCCAAGTAAATCCCTAGAGGATGACTCAAATAATTTGCTTTCCGCCTTACTATTTTCAAACTCAGGAACATACTTGAACACGTCCTAGGCCAAAACGAATTTCCCTCAGCCAAATAAAGAAGTTAGTTTTCGGCGCCTCCCTGCCTTCTACTTTCATAAAAGAGGCTTATATCCAACCTACATATTGGAACAATACAAATGTCGAGTATTAGCTTGAAACGTCAGCCAGATTTTTAGGGCAGTTTCTGTCCTGATATTTTGACAAATATTTGTGCTACTGAAGAACTCTGACCATAAATAGTTCTTATTGATTGACTACAGTTAACTGGATTTTAGAGGCCTTATACTACAATACTAGATCAATTAAGGATTAGCAGGCTGATGGTGACATTTAAAGTGCCCATTCAAAGGAGCTATGATATTCCTACTGCTATCGAACGACAAATTTATGCTAAATAAAATAGCTAGACCGAAGCTCATGGAATCAAAGTCTTTGCTGATCAAAACTTGAAGTTTTCGATTAAAATCGTTTATAGGCATTTGTTTTTCGGCGTTAGACCGACCAATATTAATTTTTTGCTAACATGGGCTTGCACTGGCGAGTGCTATAATGGTTAGCCTCATATCTTTCGAAATCTGACGAAATATAGCAGTAGAGGATTTGGAGTGATACTTAACGCTTTTCGGACAGAGTATAATCTAATTTATGCAATGAAAGGAAATATAAAACGATTTCACCTTATGTGTGTCGGAAAGACATCTTTTTTATACATTGACTATGCAGTTACACAATAGGCGTCTCAGAAGCTGAACCAAGTGAACCTGCTCTCATAGTCCCTCTATTCTTCTAATCGCGTTATTTTATACAACTTAAGGAAAGTAGTGCAAACATGCGTTTTGATGATGTTATTTGCAATGTGACTTTCGCTATTGCCTCCGTAAAAATTGTTGAGGAGGCCTCGATCGATAACGGTGACAATGTTAAAGTAATAACTGACCATATCCACGGAGACAAGCAATGGCAACATTATTTTGAGCAGTCGATAGACAAAAACGATTCTGGAACGTCGCTCAACAAGTAGTGCAAGACGGGAAATAACCATATCCCATACCAGCAACTTACGAGAGGGAGGGTTCAGTTACATTTTAAGTTGTTTTCAAAAATCACTTTGTATGTGACGCTCGGCTTTCGTAAACTTTGGTGCAATAAATTAATCGGCCTTTACCAAGTGAAGGTGATCAATCACTTAGCACTGCCGGAAAATTACGATAATCGATTGTCCTATACAAGTAAATAATGAAACGTAATCAGAAACGGCGCCATGCCCTAAGTGCTGGAAACCCCAGCTTCACAGCCGTGCGTCGGCTGACAACACTGCCAAGGAGGGTAGGCCATAATTTCCGCTGACTGAATATGCCATCAGAGTTGAAAGTAACTTCTAACTTTGGCGCCAAAAGAGGGCCTGGTTAACTTCCTCGAATCTTGCCGCTGGTCAGTAAGCGGTCGGTCGGATCATCAAAGCAATGAAAAGTTCCTCTGTCAAGTCACCAAATGGATAATTGTTTTCACGGCTGTTGTTCAGCGCGACAACTTTGAATTTTCCCGGCGTCATATCTACTACAAGCGTTTCTGAACAGTTACCCTAAAACTGCAACAGACGACGCAGCCTGCTGTCGGAGTTTAAGCCGTTACTCAAAGCCGTCAAAAGTGCAGAGCTGAGGGTGAAAATAAATTGATAGCCGCGGACTCCTTTCAGAGAATATGGCACGTCTCAGCCTCTTCCACGGAACCAAAGAAACGTCGTTCAACGTAGCTTTTTCATGACCATAGAATAAGAATCAACAGTTTAATCCAACTTGCTGCATAGATCTCCATTAATAAGTTTCCGAAAATGCTTTTTCCGACAATCAAGAAAAACGTGGAATGACTACAGCCAGACGGGAACTGCTTCGGTCAGATATTCCTCAAGCGGCGAATCCCAAACCTTGTCTACTGCTCTCTGTCTTCTTGATCCCACGATATTGTTCAACGAAAACAGCAAAATCGTCCTCTTCAATGTCATGGAGGATGATGACGTACCTCGAAACATTTCAGCTTAATCAGGACATTCTGTCGAATTTCAAGTTGTGCCAGACGGCTTAATGTCGCATGACACTACTGCCTCCGCATGAGTAGCCGGGGACCGAAGACAGTCAGTGGTTTTTTACCACGATTCGTTGGTGTTACGGATAGACTACGGTCAGAAGTGGATAAGAAATCAGACAACTCTGACGTGGAACATCTTGTTCTTCCATTGTGCTTGAGGTTCGATGAACTTCACCGAATTTTATGCTTGTGCTTCTTTGACACCGTGTGCTGCCGGTCGGCAAAAGAGGAGATTGAGTAGTCCATGCCTCCGGAAAATTGTATGGGTTCGGTTAACGAACCAGAACAGGAGTGTGGAACCAAAACTTTGAATGCCTAAACCCTTTGCCAATGCTTCTGCAGAAGATTTGTCTTTTCAGATTGTTCGGCCTCACACACCGTCATCCACAGGAGAGCTTGTCTGTGGTCTGGGTAATTCAAATTCCTGTCCATGGTTATCGCTGCCATGCTGATGGAGGCAATCGAGAGGAAAATTGTGCAAAATGAATAGATCAGACCACGAGAGACCGTTGGGACCCTACGGCTTTTGGTGTCCGGGCGGAGAACTTCAAATGAAAAATAATTGTTGGTTGCTGGTCATACAACACGAGGCTGCCCTGCGTCGTCATACCGGTACTCCCAAATCACGCTGGCACAATATCAGTGC